TCATTTAACAATTGGTGAATCTAATTGTTTTGTAGCCATGGTTTGAAACATTGATCAATCTAATTTTATACAGTGTAATGTAATATAGTATTCGAAAGAGTAGCGGAGTAAAATATTACTCCAGCTAGACAACTTTTTAAAATGATATCCCATCATGGAAGTTCTCATGACTTTCCCCAAAACATTAAAAATACACCTTTTTAAATCTTAATATGTTTGATCAATTTTAGTAAATTTCAAAGATATAGTGATACTTGCATTTTGAATACAAAATATTTTTATTTTTTGAGTGGTTAAATTACATAGATTAGAATTGGCTTTATTTGGTGGAAACAGAACTGAAAACATAGTAGAGTGCATTTCAAACAGAAAAAGTAAAAACATATTAACACATAGAAAGACTATGTATAACTAGTTTTAGTTGTCAATAAAAATATATTTTAAAGGGCGACAGTCGTCACACTGAGCATGTGCGACATTTGTGTTGATAAACATTGATTTTCCCACAATCCAATGCGCTCTTCTAGTGGTATTCACAAGTATGAGGTTTGACCTGAGCAAGACTTGCACTGATTACTGCCGGTGACTCTTTCGATACCTTCCTTCACCTAAAAAATACCTATTTAAAACAACAGTAAAAGTCACCATTTTTGTTTATATGAGACCCATATATCTCACGATGACTATCGCCCTTTAAGGTAGATTTTCATCATCTGAATGTGATCAATTCCTGCCAGGTGGTTGAATTGCTAGAGCAAAGTAACATATATTGGTTTAACAAAGTCCAGATTTGTAGAATTAAGATTTGGGTCAAAAAGTGGACAGCTTGGTCTAATATTATCAATTCTGATATTCTGTGGCTACACACCATCCATCAGATCATTTCCAAGTCAATTTCACTGAGAGTTGATGTATAGAATGAATTGCTGATTGACAAAATTTGCAAAATCTACTGATATTATGTTGGCAAGCATTCATAGAAAATTATGAATAATCATGATCAAAAAATTAAAAACTCAGGGAATCTAAAACTTAGTGTCAACCCAATAAGTAACTTTCAAGCATGTCATATTACCTTGTTAGTAACGGTATTTTAATTGTTTATCTTTTCAGCGTAATGGATTTGTTAAAATTCATTCAGGAAAACATAATTCATCCAGAATACAAGATATCCAATCATCAAGTTCGCTGTGACACTGACAATGATCTACTACTTGCTGTAATCAAAGAGCAATTAATTAAAATGTTACACAAATGATTAGTGACAGTGTGTGAAAAATGTCTACCACGTCTACAAGTACAAAGTACTGTAAAAAGGCTAATTATTCACTGGGTTTTAATTTTGCTAATTTCTCTGACTGAAAAATGGCTAAATTAAAACCCAGTGAATATGTAAAATTGAGCATAGAACACATTATCTAAATGATAAAACCGTGAATTTAAAACCCACTGAATATGCCTGAAATGGTAAATCAGCGAAATTTAAACCCAGTGAAAATTAGTCATTTTACAGTAAGAGCACCCTCTAGTGACTGAGTGCAGCTATGACATCAAAGTAATATGTCATGTCATTCCAACTTACAAATAAGCTGTTTGGTTGTGTGGAAAAAATAAATCTTCATTGACCTTGGATTGGAATAATATTGATGCTTTGAACAGTCTTCCATTCACCAAATTATCTCATAGAACCATGTCATTGCTAGAAGCCATTATCTATATTAAAGATGTATTTTCAGCATTTATACAAGACATCATTTGATTAGTCTAAAAAAACTTAACAAACAAGCTGCTTTCTGATTGGCTTGACTGTTAGGGTTGGGTGGCCAATCAGGCAGAGTCTTATAAGTTACAATGTACCTCGACTTGACTCTAGAGAATACATAGTCTGACATGTTTTCCCCCCAATTCCCATTGTTATAGAATATTTGTCTTATAATGCCTCTCAAATAAAGAACCCAACAACCAGACACATGTCAGTTATATGACAACAAATGTTGTATCTCTGCACGATCTAATCGACATTTTATTTCAAATCACAACAGAACAATATTTGTATGAAAATACAAAATTAGTTAATAATCAGTGTAGTAGAGTGCTGGAATTAATTTTCGCTGAAAATACTTTTTGGGTGTTTTGTATGGAATTTATTTTCACTGAATCATTCTTTTAGCGAAAATTAAGTATTTTACAGTATATCAATCTGGCCAATTGTTTCAGATATGTGTAAAATCAGTGTGAGCTAATAGTGCAGTAATGGCACAACATAGATTAAAGTAGATGTATTAAGCAGATGTATAGCTATGCAGGTGATGACATTTATATTACAAATTTATTATATGGGAAAAAATGTATTTTTTTATATTTTAAAATTAAATAAATTTCTTGAATCTATCTAAGTCTTGTTGTATAATGTGAACAGTATTTTGACAGCGACCCCCCCCCAACCTACAAGTGCTATACAAAATTAGCACTGACTTTCTTTATATAACACATTACCTGCCAACCTCTTCCATGGATAGCCAATTAGTCATTAATAAAGTTGGATGCCAACAATGGCAAAATTGTTAGAATTATGTTTTTGTTGCACCTAAAGTGGCGTTCACGTTACATGCTGAAAAACTTGATCTCGATCGCGTGGACGGGTTTCACGTTCTCTGCACGTAATAAGCTCGGTTATTAAGCATCCTTTTTTGGGGATGCCCGGTGGCCGAGGGGAAGACGTGTAGTGGCGTGAAGCTAGGCGATTAGGTGCCGTACGCGAGCGCCGGTTCAAGTCACGCACGCAGTACGTATTTACTATAATTAGACATAGTCTTTACCTTGCCGTTTATTCGCTTACTTGATCTCGGTCCTGATAGATGTTTTGGGCAGAGATTTGCTGTCTGAACGCTCGGACCCAGCCGAAATCATGTATTCGTGGTAAATTTATGAGAACATATGCTGATTCATACTAGTATGAAATGACAATGACAGGAAATGCAGATATAAATAGTATATGTTTGGATACTGTAGTTATGAATGCAAACTTGTCAGCAATTCATATTTATGTGCTGCTGCAACCGCTAATTTCTTGCAATGCTACATTGACGTGAAAAAATAATTGTTTTTCGAATCTTTGCCCATGTGCATGACTCGTAATAAATACCCTAACAAGAAATGGATATAATTTCAATATAGCAATTATATCATCGTATGCATATCGTTTTCATAATCATAATATCACTTTTCAAGAAATATCCGATGAAAAATAGATAGACTTACATCGAGATACTGATGAATAATCAGTTACACTATTAGTTGACATAATAAAAGAACAAATTCTAACCAATGCATTCTTAATTTAAATTTTAATCTAAAGTTGTACAAAAAAATGTGAAAATAAGCAAACCAATACAAACTGCAGACAGAGCGCAAAGTATCTGTCATTGTTCAACATATTTATACCCTCTATGAACTGGTCCATAAAGTATACCAAAATATAAATACTGTTCAGAAGTTTTCTGTTTTATTTTGCTACCAATTTTTCATTTGAAGTATGTGCTATTCCTGGCCTTGCAAGAAAAGGTCATGCTCAGATTAAATTGACTGTATCACAATATTAATGTTATCAGTATACTGCCCTCATACTGTGAAGAGCAGCTTATCTTTTGTTTTATTGTTAGATCACGTAGCAATATTGAAAAGTATGACAAGTCTAAAATTATTATACAACAATTTGTATCAATTTTACCTTTGGATTTTTTATCCTTTACCATTATTCAGTTAAAAAAATATACATACAAAACTTTTTTCAATATTTCAAAACGTTTTCACTATCAAATCCTACAAAGTAAATTAAAAACATGACAAATATGACAAAACCTTTTTTATTGTGTACGTGATTCTTCCTCATCTCAATTTTTGAGGACATTTTTGGATAATAACATATCCACTGATTATCATTTTAATTCTGTGGTACATGTAAACGAACATCAGTGTGCCCTCTAAGCCCATAATATGCACAAACTGAGGCACAAAGATTTGCTGTGACATAACTAATTATGCTAATTGCCTGGTGACTCATTGACGCAACAGAGAATTATATATAGATCTAGAAAAACATCTTACTGTAGTTATGCAATTTATAATTTGATAAAATGAAATTGACATTTTATAAACAAAATAAGGGAATCAGGGGCTAGAACATATGTTTGAGCCTCAAGTCAAATATTACAGTCAAAATTACAATTTTATTTTTTTCTTGCAGACCAGCCCCCCCCCCCCCCCTCCAGCAGTCAACATGCACAGTGTCATTAGCAGATAATGAAATCAGTTCATTGAGAAAGTGAAGAAAAATGTCATATAAAGCATATAAAGATCACAAAAGAACCACTTTCACTCTCGCCATCCAACACAGTTGATATGGTTACATCATTTTGGAACGACTACATATGGTTGATATGGCACTATTTTCTGTTTATCATAACACGTATAGATCCATTTGGGACGTATAAATGCTAATGTAGTGTTATCTGATAACGCCTGGAATATAAAACAAATAGGTGTTAAAAATGCAGAATCATGGACCCTAAAATAGAGGGATAAGTACTCTTGCTAGTTTATTTGTTTAATTGTTGATGACATAGTCCCCGTTAGAATTAGGGGAAATGTTATTCATGCCAGAAATAAAGTAATTTGCACTAACACCAAATTTAATAATTTAGAGTGAATAATTGGCTGATCTAGTATCAACAAAAATTACCGGTAGATGTATTACCAGTAAATTCCAAACAGGCTATGGTATTCATGCATTTTTTTGTACTGAATTTTATTTGTCCAGGCTCACGTACAGACATACCGAACATGAAACGAACAGGGACCAATAACGATAGAATGTCACAATAAACATCCTGATTTAATTTAGTTTAATTTCACAAACTTTGAATACATGATTACATTTGTATGTAAATTATTCAAATTCACATTTTGCAGTTTTTTGTTAAATTTTGACTAACAATTTTAATATTACACGCATCTTTGAGAAAATATTTTGATCATAATTCTTAAACCATAAACTACAAAAAAGTACCTACATGAGTACATGTACAATGAACACTACTGTATTTTTTTATTACTGGTAGTAGTGCATTCACTAACATAACATGGTCAAAATAAGTGGTTACTTTATTAGGAGCAAATTTCAAATAAAAATGCCTGAAACCCCAAAACGTATTGTATATTGAATCATTAAAATATTACATAAATTGACCATATAGAAATACCTCTGTAATTTATGTAAGTGCATGCACCACTAATAGAGTAAATACGGTATGTGTAAAATGCCCCTTCCCAGCCTCTGAAATTGTTAAATTACATACCTACCATACATGTAGTAAAACATAACACAATTAAAACAAAACTTATATTGATGATGTCTAACCTGATCAAAGTTGTCATCCCACTCAGAATGTGTCAGAACATATTGTACTTTATCTGTCATATATTCTTCTACAGCGCTGTGCATGTAATAAATATGAGAACGTTATTCTTCTATCAGTGATTGTGTAGTGAGTCATAATGAAAAAAATGAGCTGCAACTATGTACAAATGGGACTTCTTATTGTACTTAGTCCCTTTCTAATATTGGGGCTAACGCAATCCCCGTCCTCTATACAATATGTTGTACCAAGGATTTAGAAAAACAGGGAATGCAACTGTTATGCAAATTAAGATCTTATTAGGAGTCAAGTAAATTACGAGATGACAAACATTTCTTGAAAATACTAAATACAAATGAGTGAGTCCGTGAAAGAATAAATTTTCACTTCTATTTATTAAATTCATTATCTGTGATCTACTGTAAACCAGAACAGAGCCCCCAAGTATGTCACATTTTATTTTATTATACAAAAACTTTACCGTAGTTGTTCGAGTATAAATCCCTCCAGGAAAACAGCAAATTAACGAAAAATGGGGGGAGGCTTATAAACGGATAAAAGTTCAAACTTCTCCAGAGTGATAATTTATGTTAATTTATTCATAAACAAATCGTCATATGTACGATACTAGAGTGCCTTCATCAACTAGCATGTCCAAATTAACTTGAGAATGTTACACCCCATGGTGACTTGTAAAATTTGGTAAATTTATACTCGAGCAGGGGTTTATACTGTGACAACTACGGTAGTGTACTTAGTTCAATTTGAGTCAAAACAATGCTACCGACCTAAGTGTGTACTTGTCATGTCATCATCAATATCAATCATAAGTTGATACAACCTTGGATAACTATACATACCCATCATATGCCATGATGTATCTATTCAACACTCTTCTTTCCTGTGCAGAAAATGTTCCATAGAAAAAGAAATGCATACGCTTAAAAAAATCAGGCAAATCAGGGATGTCCGTGCCATTCTTTTGTTCATTCACGTCCATGTCTTCATCCGTGGACCCACCTAAGTCATCATTATTTTCTTCTTTGGATTTTCTCTTTTCTTGTTGTTTTATCCTGTGAACATAGGAATCATGTCATGGTATGTACAAGTGAGCAGTGATTGGCTTAATATAGTCATGTGATATATGTAACCAGAAAGCAATAGATGATGTCAGCATCTGAAGATGCTCAAAGAATCATAATTTAGCAGAAATTGTTAAAAAAATAAAATTGACTGTAGGCCAAAAATAAGAACTCATCAGATGGTAAATGGTTTGAATCTAGTCGGTACATTGCAGAATGTGGCAGAAATATTTTCACATCACTAAATGGACAGGATTAATTGGATTACGTAATATGATTTTCATGTTTGTTATTTCTTCCTAAGTTTACCGGTAAGTTATGGATAGAAGCAACAACATAATGTCCAATTATAAGGTTATCCCCAAAATAATAACACGGGAAGACGTCAAAAGATCAATGTTGGATAAAAAAACTTATTGGCTTTAGTTTGGGGGGTGGGGGGGGGGGGATTTTGACATCAAAAAGTTTCCATACTACAAAAACGATTTTATTTTTTAATTCAGTATTTGTATTTAATTAATTTTTGTAGTTCGTTTTTTTTTCTATAAAATCATGGACAAAAAAAACA